TTACACGACCCCTGCTCCTGTAGGCTCCTTCCAGGTTTTACTTACCTAACCCTCTGCTCCTGCAGGCTCCCTCCAGGTTTTACTTACATGACCCTCTGCTCCTACAGGCTCCCTCCGGGGTTTACTAACCAGACCCTCTGCTCCTGCAGGCTCCCTCCGGGGTTTACTTACCCGACCCTCTGCTCCTGCAGGCTCCCTCTAGGTTTTACTTACATGACCCTCTGCTCCTGCAGGCTCCCTCCAGGTTTTACTTACATGACCCTCTGCTCCTACAGGCTCCCTCCGGGGTTTACTAACCAGACCCTCTGCTCCTGCAGGCTCCCTCCGGGTTTACTTACCCGACCCTCTGCTCCTGCAGGCTCCCTCCGGGGTTTACTTACCCGACCCTCTGCTCCTGCAGGCTCCCTCTAGGTTTTACTTACATGACCCTCTGCTCCTGCAGGCTCCCTCCAGGTTTTACTTACATGACCCTCTGCTCCTACAGGCTCCCTCCGGGGTTTACTAACCAGACCCTCTGCTCCTGCAGGCTCCCTCCGGGGTTTACTTACCCGACCCTCTGCTCCTGCAGGCTCCCTCCGGGGTTTACTTACCCGACCCTCTGCTCCTGCAGGCTCCCTCCGGGGTTTTACTTACCCGACCCTCTGCTCCTGCAGGCTCCCTCTAGGTTTTACTTACATGACCCTCTGCTCCTGCAGGCTCCCTCCAGGTTTTACTTACATGACCCTCTGCTCCTACAGGCTCCCTCCTTTACTAACCAGACCCTCTGCTCCTGCAGGCTCCCTCCGGGGTTTACTTACCCGACCCTCTGCTCCTGCAGGCTCCCTCCGGGGTTTACTTACCCGACCCTCTGCTCCTGCAGGCTCCCTCTAGGTTTTACTTACATGACCCTCTGCTCCTGCAGGCTCCTTCTAGGCTAGAAGACTGGTCCTGCAGCTTCTCCCCCATGCGTTTCTTAGCATGGGACATGCGGAAGTGTGGTGGGGTAGAGAAGAGTGCCGGCTGCCAGGGGATCAGGTAAGTAAAACTGCTCTTTGCATCTCCCTAGACAAGCATTTTAGGGGCTCACTTTTTCCCCAGAGACGGCCTTTATTCTCTGCAATGTCTGAATGCACCTAATAATTGCATACATTTAGAATATAAAAAAAAAAAAGCCCTGAAGTGTGACAGCAATTCTCCCAAAGGCAGGCCGAGGTATTGCCTGTGGTGTCCCTGCAGCTGATCTTTTCTATATTACAGACTTACCATGCCTTGTTTTGTACGGTCTCTCTCTATGGAGGAGACCATCTTTGTAGAGGAGCAGGGTTTCCTCCTATTCCCTCTAGGACAAGGGCTGACTTCCCATCTGAGTGCCCAGGACGAATTTGGTCTGGTTTAACTCCTTGGCCGCCTTCCATTCTCAGATGTTTAATGCTTCATTGCCTGTTACCAGTTTTCACCTGGTGAGTGCAGGGGCGGACTGACAACTCATGGGGCCCTCGGGCAATGGGGATCATGGGGCTCCTGTGTCCTTGCCCAAACTCAAAAAATCCTATGAAAAAGGTACCAGGGGCATCTCATGGGGCCCCCTACTGACCCCGGGCCTCGGGCAGTGCCAGAGTTTCCAAATGGTCAGTCCGCCCCTGGGTGAGTGTACATCCGAGAGAGGTGGTGGAAAAAAATGTTTGGTGTGATCATCAGCAAGGGCGTCCCTAGGGTTGGTGTCACCCGGTGCGGTAACACTTGGTGACATCCCCTCCGACGATCCCTGCAGAATGGATCGGATCTGCGGATTGAGCATAATGAATCGGACTCCGATCCATTATGCTCAGTCCGCAGATCCGATCCATCCTGCAGGGATCGTCGGCATGCAACCTATACGGGGTGACACCGGACCCGCTCCACGAAAAGGTAAGTTGTAAAGCAAGCTGACGATCCCCGCAAGATGGATCGGATCTGCGGATTGGGAAGAATAATGGATTGGACTCCGATCCATTATGCTCAGTCCGCAGATCCGATCCATCCTGCGGGGATCGTCGGCTTGCTTTAAAACTTACCTTTTCGTGGAGCGGGTCCGGTGTCACCCCGTATAGGTTGCATGCTGACGATTCCTGCAGGATGGTTCGGATCTGCGGATTGAGCATAATGGATTGAAGTCCGATCCATTATTCTCCCCAATCCGCAGATCCGATCCATCTTGAGGGGATTGTCTGCTTGCTTTACAACTTACGTTTTCGTGGAGAGGGTCCGGTGTCACCCCCTGCGGTAGGTGTCACCCAGTGCAGCGCGCACCCCCCCCCCGCACCTGCCTGGGGAAGCCCCTGATCATCAGCACATTTGCACTCTGCACCCTATTTATACTGTGCCTTATGGTTTCACAGACAATTGCTTCCATTTATGGATATTTGACTATATAAATAGCACGTTTAACCACAGACATTGATGTAGAGTTTTATCCCATTTATATATCTCAGATTTTATATGTTTATTGTAACATCATTTACTACTGCACTTTACTTCCCGGATCACCACGGACATTATTGTAATTAGATTCTGCCTGTGATACACTTTATTGTTTTGCTTTTGCTTTTTGAGCTGTTTAGCTGATTTTTATGCTTTTACTTGCACTTTACTGTTTCACTCATCTCATTACATTCATGATGCACTTTACCATATTGTTTGATTTTTAGATTTCGCATTTACAAATTTTTTTTTTTTGCACTTTTATGTGTTGCAGCTTACCATTCTGCAATATTTTTTTTTTAGCGCTGCACTTTCTTACATATACTATTGTAGGGGATTGTTACCTTCACCTTCTGTGCTAGCTGGTCCCCAGGTATTGCCAGCGCTCACCTACAGTTGTGTCCAAAATTATTCAACCCCCAATGCTGTAAAGGGGTTTAGGGACTATAGTGTACATTTGGAATTGTATTCAGAATCAAATCCTACAAGGACGTTGTAACTACCCAAATGCAACTAAAATGACATCAATTGTTTATGTAATACAGTAGTAAATGGTTCTTATGTGGTTTCTTCATTGCCACAATTATTCAACCCCTTAAAGACTACCACTCTGAAGAACAGAGGTTCATACAGGTGCTTTCCATCAGGTATTGAAAACACCTGTGGATGTCACCGAGCAGCAATCAAGCATAATAAGCACCAATTAGGCAGCTTTAAAATGACTGTGATACTCAGCTCCTTCTAGACATTTACTGGTGTGGTTACAAACATGGTGAAGGCAAGAGAATGGTCCAGGAAGACAAGAGAAGAGGTGATTTCTCTTCACAGGAAGGGCAATGGCTATAAGAAGATTGCAAAGATGTTAAACATACCAAGAGACACCTTAGGAAGCATCATTCGCAAATTCAAGGCAAAGGGCACTGTTGAAACGCTACCTGGTCGTGGCAGAAAGAAGATGCTGACTTCGACTGCTGTGCGCTACCTGAAGCGTAGAGTGGAGAGAAGTCCCCGTGTGACTGCTGAGGAACTGAGAAAAGATTTGTCAGATGTGGGTACAGAAGTTTCAGCCCAGACAATAAGACGCACACTGCGTAATGAAGGCCTCCGTGCCAGAACTCCCAGGCGTACCCCCTTGCTGTCTCCAAAGAATAAGAAGAGTCGACTGCAGTATGCCAAAAGCCATGTGGACAAACCACAAAAGTTGTGGGATAGTGTTCTGTGGACTGATGAAACAAAATTAGAACTGTTTGGGCCCATGGATCAACGCTATGTTTGGAGGAGGAAGAACAAGGCCTATGATGAAAAGAACACCTTGCCTACTGTGAAGCATGGTGGAGGGTCAATCATGCTTTGGGGCTGTTTTGCTTCTGCAGGTACAGGGAAGCTTCAGCGTGTGCAAGGTACCATGAATTCTCTTCAGTACCAGGAGATATTGGATGGAAACGTGATGCAGTCCGTCACACACCTGAGGCTTGGGAGACGTTGGACCTTTCAACAGGACAATGATCCCAAGCATACCTCCAAGTCCACTAGAGCATGGTTGCAGAGGAAAGGCTGGAACATTTTGGAGTGGCCATCGCAGTCACCAGACTTAAATCCGATTGAGAACCTCTGGTGGGACTTAAAGAAAGCAGTTGCAGTGCGCAAGCCTAAGAATGTGACTGAACTGGAGGCCTTTGCCCATGAAGAATGGGCGAAGATACCCGTAGATCGCTGCAAGACACTTGTGTCAAGCTATGCTTCACGTTTAAAAGCTGTTATAACTGTAAAAGGATGCTGTACTAAGTACTAAGATTGAATGTCACTTGGGGGTTGAATAAAACTGATAATTGCTGTGAGCACAGAAAAGACATTTGTGGTTATTTCATTATAACTGTTATGTTATATTTGTCTGACCTACAAGTGCCTCTTTAATGTAAATGTAAGCAAGATGACTGAATGATCAAAAGCAATGTCAAACTGGCCAAAACACTCAATTTCAGTGGGGGTTGAATAATTTTGGACACAACTGTATATATTAGATTTTAGTACTAGTTATAGGCTGCCGATAACCGGTAACTGCATTTACTTTGTGATCTGCTGTGTCATTGGACACAGCTGATCACGTGGTAAAAGGCCGCTGTGAATGGCCTTTTATCTTGTCATGTGATCAGCTGTGTCCATAGGACAGCAATCACAGACAGCTCTGGGGGCATGCGTTCTGGGAGGAGATCATATGACGCCCTCCCAGAACAGGACAACCGTGCCGTAGCCGTCATTCAGCTATAGCCCGGTTGTCAAGTGGTTAAAGCGTGAGACAGTCTACCTCCACTGAGCTGTTGAGAACTCCCTCTAGTGGCTAATCCACACATTTCACAGTCAATACAGTAAATGGTACAGAACAGCAGGCATGCTCTTCAGGTACCAGCACTGGTGAAAACGGTTTACTGCCCTCAGCATGATATTAAACGACAAAGAATGTGGATCATGTAAGCGTCTGAATGACATTTTGATTCCTCTGTATGTTCCGCCATGCTATTCAGCATACGTAGATCAGTGTGGTGCAGGTTACATCGACTCACCTTGAAAAGTCGAGGGAAGACATCTGCTGGCTGTCCGCGTACCACAAATAATCGGGAGCCCAATTTCCGTAAACTGGAATCCAGATCTTCCAGAGACTGAAGGAGGAACCTGAGGGAAACAGACAGGACTTAGTATCTACAGGCAACACAACCAGAACCTAAACAGTTCAGAACAGCTTTTTTCACTATTTGGCAATCATATTTTTCGAGTACTCAAGCAGGAAGACCTCAGCACCTGAGGTTTCACATCTATCTGTCCTCTGCACAAATTACAGGAGTCTCACTCCTCTTGCTGGATTTTTAACCCCCCTGGATTTTTAGCACCCCCTTATGAATAAGTCCTGGAAGTGACGAAACGCGTCAAGGGACGTGACGTCGGATGTAAGCAGAGGAATCGGAAGTAGCAGAGTGGCCATTTTGAGAAGTGGAAAATCACACCAAACACTCCTGGAAGCTGCTCCGAGGTTTGGAGTCATGGGAATAAGGCGTTTTTTTTAATGTGAATCATGTAAGAGCAATAATAAAGTGTATTGTGATATTTTAAAGCGGAATTACACTATATCCTTTTTCATATATTTATATATATACACATCTGTGGAGCATGGGTACTAAGGGTACTATGGAGTACTGCTATTGAGGCCATGATGACATCTTACAATTATCAATGAGGCTGTGATGACATCTATGGGATTAATACTCAGGCTGTGAAGGCATCTTTGGAGATTAATAAATATATCCCCTGCTGGATTACTAGTGTGTTATAATATTGATTTGGTAAGAGTATTCATTCCTTACACTGTAGAAGAGCACACTGAATGTCACTGGGAATCGGGGCGGACTGACCATTTGGAAACTCGGGCACTGCCCGAGGGCCCAGGGTCAGTAGAGGGCCCCATGAGATGCCCCTGGTACCTTTTTCATAGGCTTTTTTGAGTTTGGGCAAGGACACAGGGGCCCCATGATCCCCTACTGCCGGGGGGCCCCATGAGTTGTCAGTCCGCCCCTGCTGGGAATACTATTACATTTTTCTAATTCACAGAGTGATTCACAATCACGGTTGTTACACAATGTTCACAATCACATATGTGGTCACGTTTATTTGAAGTGTATAGTGCACATTTGTTATATATATTTTTTTAGGATTGATTTAATAATGGTAATGCACTATCAAGGTTTTTTTCTTATTTTGAGGTTCACGTTTCCTTTGGAGCCAATTTGGAGGGCTTGACAACAAAGATTTTGGAGTTTTTTCCTTTTTTGGAATCGGAATTTTGAATGACTATTTATGGACACTGGTGAATAATTTGACTTTTAGGGTTAGGACTGTATGGACGGTCACATTTATTTAGTAGATTGGGGAATGTTTTGAGCATTTATAGGGTGAATTTCAGATGGATTTTTAACCCATTTTCTTTTCTTTAGCTTTAACAAACAGCCCATCTCACCTTTCCCTGTAGACTCCTTATTGGTGGATTGTGGTTGAACCACAGCTTGGTGTATAAAGAAGGTTACATGCGGACTACACCAACGTCTAAAAACAGGACTTAGGTGAATCTGGGCTTTGCCCACACAGGGCACTCATACATGCACTGACTTTCCCACATGGAAGAAAAATATATTTGAAATAGATTTGAAAAATGTTGTTCCCAAATATATTGACATATATTTGAAATGCTACAATTTTGGCCATATTCAATATATTTAAATAAATATATATACACACACACACATATATATATATATATATATATATATATATATAAAATCTCTCTCTCTCTATATATACACTGTATGTTGAAATGTGTTATTTTAAAATATATGAAAAATATTTTTAAAAATACATTTCAAATATACTGTATGTCTGAAAATACAAATCTACATTCCTGGAATGAATTTACAAATATATGTTAAAATTACTTTTTTATATGTTAAAAAAAAAAAATCTGAAGAATATATTTTTTTTAAATAAATCTAATTTTTAACTTCTTGGCGCCGTCCGCACGCAAATGTGCGGCCTCCTGGCGTCTGGGCCTTGACGCACATTTGCGTGCAATTAGGAAAAACATATGTGCTGACAGCGTGTGCCCTGCACTCTCCCAGAACACATGTCCGGTACTCACGGAAAGGTCCCGATCTCCTCTTGCGATCGGGACCTTTCCCAATCATGTGACCGCCATGACAGCAAATCACAGGTCACATGACCCTAAAACCCTGCCCCGCCTCCCGCTTCTGAAACCCTTAAAGGGCTGGGAGGTGCTGGCGCCAAGGGGTAAAGAATATGTTTTTTTAAAATATATTCTTCAGATTTTTTAAAACATATGAAGAAGTCATTTTAACATATTTTTACATATATTTGCAAAGACATACAGTATATTTGAAATGTATTTTTAAAAATATTTTTGTAATAAAAATGCATTTTAACATACAGTGTGTGTATATATATATATATATATATATATATATATATATATATATATATATATATATATATATATATATATATATATGGCCCAAATTGTAGAATTTCAAGTATATGTCAATATATTTGGAATATATTTGGGAACATTTTTTTAAATACATTTCAAATATATTTCTCTTCCATATGGGTATGTAGTCCCAGGAGGATAGTGCGGATTGGTCCAATGCTGTCACAGAGTGGGCCACATTCTCCTCCATGCCTGGGACCTCCATGCCTGGGAGTACCAGGTACTTTCATTGATGCCTGTTACTGAAAGGTAAGTACTTTATATGCTGATGGAGATGGGAATACTAAAGCTGACCTCCAGCCTTGCCTTCAGTCTTGCACAATTTCACCTGCTAATCTCCCGTATGGAAAATGCTTACTCTGAATTCACTGCACACTGTGAGCTTCTCATTTTATGTATTTCAGGTACTTATATAGCGCCGTCAGTTTACGCAGCACTTTACATATATATTGTACATTCACATCAGTCCCTAACCCTCAAGGGGTGTACAATCTAAGGTCCCTAACTCATATTCATACATACACATACTAGGGACAATTTATACAGGAGCCAATTAACCTGCCAGCATGTCTTTGGAGTGTGGGAGGAAACCCACACAGGCACAGGGAGAACATGCAAACTCCAGGCAGGTGGTGCGTGGTTGGGATCGGAACCACAGCCCCCAGTGCTGCCAGGCAGAAGTGCTAACCATTTAACCACTGTGTGCTGCCCCATAGTCTGTACTAGAAGCTACGGCAAGCGTGATAAAACCCAGCTCATTTCCTGCCGGACAGACGTCAGCATCAAAAAGCTCTTTCCTCCTTAGTCTTACTCTCCCTGGCCCAACCCGTTTCATTAATTGGATTACAGTTTTTTTCAATCATGGAGGCTCAGCATCACATGTAGGCTTTACTGAAGGTGGTCAGCATGAAAACGCAGCTTGCTGCGGAAAGCCCAATCCTCCTAAATGAAGACCCATCAAATAATTTGATATTTGCATAAATCCTTCCAAAAGCCAGCCAACTGCTTGCATCAGGGCTGAGGTCCCTAAAGAGGAATACTGACGCGGGGTGTGGTGATATTCTCAATAAGCTATGTACAGCACCCTGCTGGCCCCTCCCACCAGTCATGATCTGCTGGCATTTTATAGAGAAGCATAGAGGCTTAGCGATAACAGCTAAAGTATTGTATGTTATGAAAATTGAAAGGTTGTGTGTAAAAATATCAATATTGTGCAAAAATATGTAAAACCTCCAAACAAAAGCCTCAAGGTCCTAGATATCAATGATAAGTAAACCGGGAGTCCCTGGTTACCAACATAATGGAAAAGTGCATAAAAATAAAAGTAGTTATGGACTCAACAAGTATATTGGGTTTGTCTGTATGTATTCATATTGAAAGGCAATGATTAAAGGGCTGCTGGTAAATGGCACACTATGATCTCTTTATTAAACATTTCTAAAAACAGAAAAAAAAAAATCTACCACACTCCACAGATCCCGAGTAACACCCCCCAAAGGGGAGTACCCATTAAAACAATGGACAAATCAGTTGGTAACTTTAATATCTCTCTCCATAAAGGATGCATATGTTCCATGTATAAACTTACAGAACTTTATCATTCAGAGTCCTCTTTAACCACCTCAAGTCCGGACACTTTCACCCCCTTCCTGTCCAGGCCAATTTTCAGCTTTCAGTGCTATCACGCTTTGAATGACAATTGCACGGTCATGCAACACTGTACCCATATGAATTTTTTGGCATTCTTTTGAGACAGATAAAACTTTAATTTTGGTGGTATTTATTCACCACTGGGATTTTTATTTTTTAGCTATATAAGTGAAAAAATCCAAACATTTTGGAAAAAAAAAAAAAAAAAAAAAGTGTTTTTCTTATAAACTTTTGCAAATAAATAATCTTTCTTCATAAATCTTGGCCAAAATGTACTCAGCTATCTTTTTAGTAAAAACAAAAAAAAACCCAAATTAGTTTATAACCAAAAATTATAATTTTTAAAAAAAAAATTACTTTTTTTATATTATTCATTTTTTTTTTGTTTTTTTTTTTTACATACAGTCACCCTAGCAGTACAGCGTCACCATAGTGACACTGTACTACTTGTGGGGGGTGATGAAGATTTTTATTTCTTTTCTTACACTGGTTGCTTTTACACCCATAAAGGCTGTAAATGCAATCATTTCTCCTTCTCTCTGGCTGCATTCTTGCAGCCATTGAGAAATACTGTGTGTGCTCTGTGATTGGTCACAGCTTGTCACATGGTACAAGGCTGTTGTGAATAGCCTTGTACCATGTGACCTCTGATCATTCACAGATTTCACACGTAGTAAGCAATGATGTCAGCAAGTGCCATCTTGCTTACTACTATTCATGTGAGCACTGATTGGCCAATCAGCGATCACATGATCGGGACCTCACACAGAGGTCCCGTACAACAATCGGTGTTCCTCTGTGTCCTCCAGACACAGCGGACACCGGATCGCGGTGCTGCACGCTCCCAGGGAGTGAATGTGTAGGCTGTTTATAAATGGACACCCGCTCCTGCACTGCTCCTGTCCCTTTAAGTGGTTAAAGGGAACATATTCCATGTCATGTGTGTATATGTCTGCCAATCAAAATCACCATG